AGAGACTGATTCTCCTTCTTAGAGCAAAGAGAGAAAGTTCAAGAGGGACCCAAGAAGACTTTTTTAAAGCCATATTCTGTTTCATGAAAGTTAATAAATACTTTTATATTCTATACCTTCTGGTGAATCCTGTAGTTCTTGGAATAAAAAGTTATTTGTAGACTAGAAAGATGATAGGCTCCAGGTATTTTGTAATATGCATATACTTCTTATGTTATTCAAACACCGTATTCTTATAATATTACATGGATAGTTGTGCTGATGGTTTCCCTTGGAGCCCGTTTGGGCTGGATTCAGCCCTGGCCCTGGGCAGCCCTGCAGCCTCTCCTGATCGGCTGCTTTGCAGTGCCAGGGGAAGCCCCCCTTTGGTTTCCTGTTAGTGATAACTGCGAGCTCTTGGAGCTTAGGTGAGCTAAAGGTGCCAGAGGAACACCTAAGCATGGGTTGAATGAGGTACTGAGTGTGTTTTGGGTACTAACCACGTGTACAGCTCAGCTCAGCACTCCTTGTGAGACAGCAAGTAATAGCTCAATGGAAATATTTTGAGGTGTTTTTCCCTTGGCTGAGCAGTGATGTAACAGTGCCAGGGGTGTTCGTGGGAGACCTGGGCTAATAAGCAATGAAAGCTGGCATTGTTTGGGAGATTGAAGGCAGATGCATTTGTGTTTTAAAAATGAGGTCATGGATAATTTAGACTGGTGTAGTTTCTACTTTCAGAGATGTGGATTTACACTCTTAGGCTGAGGGAAAACGTATTGTTCAGTGATACAGGCACAGAACTGAAGCAGAGCTGTGGCACAGGAGTTCTGCCATCAAAGGCTTTGCTCTATGACTTTAAATGAACTGTTTAAATACATACTGAGAATATATGGTGAAGATACTGCCAATAGAAAATTGGAAATAGGGGAGGGAGAAGGAGAATGTAAAAAAACTTTTTCTAATGCAGTTTCTGAGGTTACATCATGTTCCTGATTCAGAAAATCCATTAGTGTATTTGATGGAATACAAAATTTAAGGTCTGCAGGTGGTGCAATGTGGGCAGGCAATGTTCACAAACTGGTAAGTGTGCTCAGAAATCAGAATAATTTGGCAGATGGCACAGGTGATTCAAAAAAAGCAAACTGAAAGTCAGAAGGAATGAATATGAAATACTGAACTCCAGGGAAAAAGAAGTGCATGAAAGCAAGCAATTCTCCCTATCTTGTATGGGGCAGTGAAAAAAAAAGCATTTGGTTGCCCAGAGGTGAGCAGTTTGATACTACTGCAAAAGTAAAGGATTAACAGGAATTTTTTAATATAAGTTGTGAAAATAATTGTTCTATTGAGTGCCAGTGATTTGGGGCAACATATTTTAAAAAGTAAGTGGGCAGATGGAAACAAGAGGTAACACTGCATATAAGAAAATACACAAATGGAACTGAATATTCCTGGTCTAGAATAAAAGAAGTCTGAGGGAGGGACTCGCCCTTCACATGCCTAAAAATATTGCTACAACAAAAAATGTTTATCAGTTCTTGATATTTCCTTTGGTAAGGGAAGGATTAGCTTTATTCACAAAAAAAATATTTTTGTTGACTATTAGGATGAGAAGCATTCTAACAGGCACCTAATGATGATGTGAAACTCATTTCTTGTAGGCTTCTAAGCAGCAGATTGGCAGATGGCTGGAGGGGATGTTTATGGGATGCTTCACCCCTCCACAGTGCAGGGACCTCACTGCTATGGTTGTTTTCGTGGTTTCTTTAATCTTCTGTTTTTGTTCCTCCCTGGAGAAGGTCAGTGGTGCCTCCCTGGATGTGACCAGCACTTGCAGAAGGTTTAGGAAACTGAGATCTTTGCCTGCCAAAGATCTCACCAATTGAGGTTTAGCTTGAGTCTTTCTTCTGCTGAAAAGCTGATGACTATTTCAAAGTTGTGACCTGGCGTAGATTCAAGTTAAAATTTGATACTTGGATGGTGGATTAATCTCTCTGTTCTCTCCACCTTCAAACCTCATAGGTTACCTGTAACTTATGCAGTTCCTTTTGATTTGGGTTCTGAGTTTTGGTTAAAACTGCATTATAGCACACTCTTCTTAAAGCAAAAGCAAAAATATTTTATTTGGGTGGGGTATTATCCAAATACTGCAAGAATGCACATTACACATATAAGTAGAAATTAATGTGTTTTTAAAAATATGCAAAGCACTCTGGAAATCTGGAAAATTTATTTTGGTATATCAGCTTTTAACATTATTTTCTTTATTTCGTTCAATATAAACATTAGAACACATAAGTGTAGGACAGATATGTAATGCTAAAATACATGTATGCGTTTTTAATGCAGACTTTTCATTGGGCTTTTTTTTTTATTCTCAGTATAATTATAGAATAAAATGTCCACAAAGTAAGTCCTGCATCTCTTAAATTTGTAGGTATCTAATGAGGACACAGCTCCTGTCCTTAGGTGTCCAATAAGCAGGAGCTTCAGCTTTGGTCAGTCACTGCCAGGCCCTGTCAGATTGTGCCAGTGCTGAGGAGGGAGGGACAACAGGATGCACCTTCATGGAATCCTTGGGTGAGCTCACAGCATCTTTGTATCCATAAACTCTGCTGTCCATAAAGCACTCAAGCTGACACGAGGGCTCCTAGCAATGAAAATCAGTGTCTTACACTGTTTAGCTTTTGGGAATATGAGAGCTTCTTACTTTTAGTTGATCTCATATTCATAGAAATAGAATTTTTTAAAAATTCTGATACAATAAATATTGAGTCATTATTTTCACTTCTTTATGATAGTCTATTCTCAGAACTTAAGAAACCAGTTTTTAATGGAGCATCTGTATTAAACAGCAGCCTTAAAAATACTCAAGGTAAGTAAAAATGTTTTAGATGAGATTTAATTATTTTTGTATGTTTCAATTTTTATATATTCATTAAAATACATATTCTTAAAATATATGTTTACTTTCTGATTTTATAATTTTAAATTACAATAATATATGAGTGTTTGCTTATGAATTAAGTCTCAGCAGCTAATATCTAAAGTCTGCATTATTCCATAGTCATCTGATACCATAAATATAGGTAGTCTAAACACATTTCTAAGACTTTCTTTTACTATTATTTTTGTCCTGAGAAATCTACAATGTTAGCAGTCTTTGTTGATGCAGAAGAGTCGGGATTTCATTTGAATGGGCTTGAATTTTATTGAAAAATCCTTCGGTTAGGATGATGCTTAGGTTGTGGCAACCACCATAAAGTGACAGAACAAATGAAGGAATATTTAGCTGGATTTTCATAATTTCTGAATGAAAGTGAATCAGCATGGGTATGCTTTGGGCTGATTTAACAGCTTGTCTCTCCTGCAGCAAGAAGCTCTTTTCCCCCCACAGCTCCTGACCCCACAGTGGCATGTAGGATTTTTTTGCTAACTGGGCTCTTCTGTGGCCTGATACAACTCTGTAACCCGTGAATAAAATTGAGGTTATTCTTGCTCTGTTAGTGAGCTGAAACTTTTGGGCAGAGGCTGAGTAGGGCAGCGAGGCTCAAGCCTGGCTTGTGGAGTCTAGGGTGGAGTGGGAAGAGGGAGGGAGGGAGGCGTGAGCAGGAACAAAACCCTCTTTGGCAGCAGCAGCCTGTTCATTTGGCTCCACTGCTTCTTGTGACTTTGCTCTGAGAAAATCATACAATAGGGAGAATTCAAGTTTTCACATCTGCGCCTCTTTGGGCGTTTTAATTTTGTTGTGAATTGGTTGAGTGATTGTTTTGAATCAGATTCATTTTGGACATTTTAGAAGGTTGGAGTGAGATGAGCTTATGTGACTGGCAGTTATTTTTTCTTTGCTGTGTTAAAAAAAATTGGTCCCAATGATAGAGTGGAAAAGAAACTGACTTCAAAAATCACTCCAAAAGTCATTTCAGGTCAAATAGAGTTTTATTAATTGCATTTATTCTTTCTGTTGTTGCTGTTATTATTATTGTTATCATTCTAATCTGTTATATTGTATATTTCTTTT